CCCCCCCACCCCACCCCATCCTTCATCCTTAAACCCTCCCCATCTGTGTCTGTGTGTGTGTGTTCAAAAGTGAACCAAAAAATCAGGTGCGTTGTGTTCCAAAGTGATCTCGCTTTTTGCTAACCCTTCCATGTTTTTGTGTGTTTTGTGTGACCCATGTTTTGTGTTCCAAAGCGAACTAAAACCCTGTGTTCCAAAGTGAACTAAAACTTGTGTTCTGAAGTGACCCCGCTTCCTTTTCCTGGGGGATGTCACAGTTGTTTTAGTCAAACCTTTAGCTTTCTCAAACCGGTGAAGAAATTTGAATGAGAAGAGCCCAAGAGTTGTTTCTTTCTTGTGAAACCATTGAAGTTCCGAGGGTCCCCATTGCTCAAAGACCATCAAAGACTACCAAAAAAGATCCCTTAACATCGCGATTTCTCGTTTTTGTGTCTCAGATTCTTTGAGGCAGAACTGTTTTCACGTCGTTTCTGCAGGACAGCACTCTTCTTGTGGCAACTTGGCATTTAAAATGGAGCTGGAGAGATCTGAAGAGAGTGGGGGATGATCATGTTCCTCATCGTATCTCTTTCATCATGTGATCAATCAATTGCTTTTTCCACCCCGATCTCCAATCCAAATGCGATCCACGCAAAGCATCAATTGAGGAGTTCACTTTTTCTGGAATTTCAGGTACTGTAGACTGGTAGCATCTGGTATATACTCAGCTTGCCGGTCCCAGGTGCTCTTCCTTAGCGATCATGTTAGTGCACGCCTGGTTTCAGTTGAAGCACGCCAGGCGATGGGGACCATGGGACATGTGGTCCGCACGCACCCGGGTGGGAGAAGTGAGATACTTGAAGATGAGAGAATCAATTGGGCAACTTACTAGGAACAAGTGCCTTACTAGTAGTAACAAGTGCCACGCTAGTAGTAACAAGTGCCGTACTACTAGTAACAAAAATAGTTTAATTTTGTATGCGGAAACGGGGTCACATTGTGAGTCACAAGGTCTTGTCCACACATGGAAACGGTGAGAGTTTATTGTTTCGTTTCTGACCTGAAGTGAACCAGCAATCGACGGGTTGCCCGTTGCGATGGTTGGTCCTTTTTTTGCGAAGGGATGCAGATAGTCACAATCGACAATCTGCAAGACCATAAAGATAGATCATCTCTGAGAATATTCTACCAGATTAAACCGTTTTCGTTTATTTTCATTATCCTATCTTGCTGGACGCCCCGACAAAAACTCATGACTTCCCTCACGAACCTATTGACACTATTGATGTTGGGTTGATTTGATTCTTCCTTCTGTTGGGAGCCGAGTGATGATGGCGTTGCAGGTGGTTTGAGTCGCAACATCTCACCATGAAGGCTCGACTGAGCTTTTCGATGCGCCAATGCACAGTCCTGATCTGGATTGGTCGTTTGTGTCCTGTATTAACTCAAAGATCAAGCCGATACTCAAGCATCATAGGTATGGAAATGTCAATGATTTTGACAGGATTTGACCCACCATCCTTCAACACTGAGGATAGAGAAAAGCGACAGGCGACAGTCAAAGCGACATAAAGCAACCATTTGAGTCCTTCTGTTGGAGGCCATCGCTAGTAGGGTGGCGGCCATCGCTTCTAGGTTGGAGGCCCTTGCTCCTAGTAGCTTCTTGCTCCTAGTAGCGATGCCCTTTGCTCCTTGTAGCTTCCTGCTCCTAGTAGTAGGGCCAGGAGCCCCAAGTAGCGTCCTTGCTCCTAGTAGCGATGCCAGGAGCCCCTAGTAGCGTCCAAATCGCTTGGATTCACACCCAAATCGTTCCACACCGATCCAAATGCTCGGTCGGCGGGTCGTTCTGCAGGACTTTGCGTTGGTGCTGCGCGGGGCCTGGTCGGTCTGCTGGGAGATTTTGTGACACACACAGAAAATGACACGTATCAGAGCATGAACATAAAAGATAGGCAAACAAAGATTACATTCATTTGTTAACTTCGTGAACTTTCAGGCAGTGGGCTTTGTCGTCTACGCCCTTCCCCCAAATGTGAAGATGAGTGGAGCTGTGTTGAAGCCACTCCATGCAGTGCATATTCCAACATATTGCATCAATTGTACCAGCATCCGTCGGCAGTGCCTTGATTCGTTGGACGGTTCTAAGGTCCGGCTTGCCGGCAGACGTCACAGATGAACAGAAGCTAGCAGAAGCCTTGGAGGTTTGTGTTTTGCTTGGCCGAAGCGGTAGTCCAGCGGATCAGGCGGTTCTGCGGAAGATTCCCGGATGTTTCCTCTAGCTTCCGGTCTCAGTTCATGTTTGTCCAAAGTGACGACTATCACACCTGAACAAATATTAGATATCGCTTAATCCGGAACATGTATCATCATGTCCCCCCGACAAGAGGTCAGTTGAGATAAGGCTACTGAGGGGCATGGTACTGCCCGAGCAGGGAGAAGTCTCCAAGCAACAAAAGGGCCACGTCAAGCATCAGCAGAGCATCAGCAACCTTTGGTCGAAGCTCAAGAAGTGGACTCACTTACCAGCTCGGTCCCAAGGCAGACTGCATCTCTCGTCAGATCGGCTCGGAGGCCCAAGAAATTCAAGGTGTGAGCTGCACGCAGTTGATTTGTGGATCAGGCAGAACGATGCTTAAACATTGTCGAACTTTGAGTCACATGTTGATTTAGTAGCCATCCACCTTCTCCTCAAAGATGAAGTTATGATTGGTGAGATGATGTGAAGCGAAACCCCTCATGCAAACACAAAAGGGCGAAACAGATCGAAACAAACATTTGTGTAATGCGAACTCTATATATATATATATGTATATATACTGAGGCCAGTCCTATTAGGTTGGAGGCCATCGCTTCTAGGTTGCAGGCCATCATTCTTAAGTTGGAGGCCATCGCTTCTAGGTTAGAGCCCGTCGCTTCTAGGTTGGAGGCCATCGCTTCGAGGTTGGAGGCCACCGCTATTAGGTTGGAGGCCATCGCTACTAGGTTGGAGGCCGCCGCTACTAGGTTGGAGGCCATCGCTATTAGGTTGGAGGCCATCACTTCTAGGTTAGAGGCCATCGTTATTAGGTTGGAGGCCATCCCTTCTAGGTTAGAGGCCATCACTTCTAGGCTAGAGGCCATCACTATTAATTAGGTTGGAGGCCGCCGCTATTAGGTTGGAGGCCATCGCTATTAGGTTGGAGGCCATCGCTATTAGGTTGGAGGCCGCCGCGATTAGAAACAAAGAAAAAGAAAAGGAAGAAAGGTCTAATAGAGTTGCTTCACTAAGGGGAGACGATCCGTTCGGTCTCCATCGGATACGATGTGACCTCCTGCTGGAACGAGGCACATGAGGGAGATCAGGGTGCACATCGGCTCGGATGCCACACTGACTAGACTCTCGTTTCTTCTCATTTTTTAGACTTTTTACGCCAAAGGTGCAAACCATGCGGAATCGCCATTCTCCAGGTGGAGACCTTGTTGGACCGTCACTTGGCCTATTGCGACGCCCATTTCTGTGGCCACCCCGACGTGGGACTGAGACCGGGGCCGCAGGCGCAGTCTGCTCGAAGTGACCGGCGCTGTTCTACACGGTCAAACTCTTCAGTTGACACTTCGAAAGCTGAAGAAGTATCCAGTTGTGCAAGTCAGGGGAGTCAACTCTTGATTTGTGCACATGTTTCTTTCCTAATATAGTAACAAGAAGCTATTAGTAGCTCCTGGCATTACTACTAAGAACAAGAAGCTACTAGTAACAAGGGCATCGCTACTAGTAACAAGAAGTTATTAGTAGCGCCTCCGCTGCAGGGAGGTGCCGCGGAAGAAGAAATCTTGGGCCCGTTGGCCATGAGACGAAACATGGAGGAGGCGAGGATGGTGTCCAAAGCTGTCCAATGATGAACCGAGGCTTTGCAGTTCACAATAAAACCGAACAAAGCCATATTGGCAGAAGAAGTATCAGCATGCAAATTACATTTTGAATGAATGGGCAGATTCGGTATTTGTCATGGAGGTCAAGAGGTTTTAGGTTGGTCTTCATCCTGGAGGTGATTAGATTAGCCAGCAAGTACATTTTGTGACCAAAGTCACTAGAGATGAGTTCCTTAATGCAAAGTCACTGCTGTTTGCATCCCAACTTCTCGACTGGACAGGACAGCCAGTGGGTCCAAGACTGGTTCAGGCTCGCCAACAAGAAATCAGAGATGAGTCAGAGATGAGCGAATGTGACATGTGGGTGGTTTGATACAACGGAGGATTATGGAAGAATGCTGCTGCGGCACTTCCAAGTTCCCTTATGGTTTACGTAAACCAGTGGACCAGCGCAATTCTTTTTGGTTTGAGAATTGGGATTGTTCATTTCATGAACAGTCATCAGGACACTGCCCTTCACTAGCATACAACCATGTATACAAGCATATGACTACAGGGTTGTTGGCCTTATGGGAAAGGACCTCCTCTATGGGCTTTGCCAGCTGCTGTCACAGGCCCAACTCTTCGAAGGAGATGAAAGGCTCAGGCTCCATCTGTTCTCCGGACAAGAACGGGTCGGTGTTTATAGGAATCGCTTTGATTATGTGACATTGTCCTTGGATCCTTTTCATGACTCTAGACCGAAAGAAATAAAGATCAGCTGATGGAAAGGAAACAGATTCAACTCCTGGTTTGGCGTTTGTGTTGGCAAAGAAACCTAATAAACTGATAGACATACCTAGCACCCAGGTCTTTGGAGCTCCACATCCTCACCTCGACCGCGACCTCGATGTGCCAGGCTTTGCTTGGGCGGTCTTCAGCAGCCACCGAGACCGCGATGAGGCGATCCACAAGATGTTGGCTCTGGAGAAAGATCGACGAGGCCCGGGGGCAGTGCCCGTGAGGAGTAGCTGGGAGTAGCTTAGCTACGTGTTTGGACAAGTGAGTAGGCAGATCTGTAGCTTAAGTAGTTACATGTAGCTACTACAGTAGCTAAGTAGCTGCTACCTTCCTTGAAGTCTGAGCCTTACAGATTTGATTCCTCACAAAGCGGTTGTCGCGCAGATGGTTTCGAGACGCCGACGAAGACGGAGTTGTTTTGTTTTCTCGTGGTCGTCGTTATTCACGGGAGAACCTGCTTGACAAAGAACATCAAAGAACAGTTGAACAGTCTAAGCAGTCTAAGTCTAAAGTCGAGAGAAGCTGAGGAGTGATTCACATGTTGTATCGATGGACAGCCGAGGGTTTGCGGGCCCGCTGCTGAGGCATCCACTGGCGGGATCCTGACGGCACTTGCTATCCATTGGACTTTGGAATTCCGCAGATTGGCCGATGTGAACAGTTTTTTGGGTTGGCCGATCTTAGACATGAAAAACTGTTTGAGCTGGATGTTTGTCTTGCAAGATATGCAAGGATGGGGTGTCCCTGCCAATAGCTTGGGTGTGAGGCGTTGCGAGCCCACCAACGTGCGCTGGGATCACCTGGGCCTTGGGCTGTGCTCAAGGCGCTTGCGCTTCTTGGGCGTTCCTTTGGCCCAGAAAGCTAAGCATTCTGCGCACTAGGAACAAGTGCATCGCTTCTAGTAACAAGTGCCTTACTAGTAGTAACAAGAAGCTACTAGGGGCTCCTGGCCTTACTACTAGGAAGAAGGACGCTACTAGGAGCAAAGGGCATCGCTAATAATCTATCTATTGTACATCATGTTTGTCCTTTGATGATGGAAGGATACCTGCTACATAACCATACAAAGAATTGAATTAGCAAAAAGACATTGCATGCAGACCATGTTCCAAGACACATGTTTCTGCAATGATGCAGAGTCAGAAGATGTGAGAATCATGACCATGTATTGATTCTTTTGGGGGTGGAATTCGTTGTACGTACTTCTAAGATACCTGGGATGTTGGATGATTGGGTTTGCTTGGTCTATCAACAGTGGTAGGCCGTGTGATAATTGGACAAGGGTCGGTGAACATGATAAAGTAACTGCTACCCTACCCACAAAATAAATTTTACCACCCTTTGGTTTGTCTCAACCAAGGCAGTGCTTATTTGGTCCATGGCCGCAGCTGGGTTGGCCTTCTTCGTTTATGTGCCCTATGCTGAGTACGTCACCGGCTTCCTCAACGAGGTGAGAAGATAGGCGGAAAATCAAGATAGAAACACATACAGACGTCTATAGCGGAGATTTATGACAAGGGATGAGCGGTGAACATCCAGAAGGCAGTGGGAGGACTTGTTCACACTGCAATGTCGGCTATGCACCTGCAAAACAGTGAGATTTATGCCAAACCTCCACAAACCAGTTTGTCAGGTTAACTCAGGGTGTGGTGGTTCAGTCGGTCCAGTCTCCAGCCTTCCATTGTTTGCTTCAAGCACCTGTCAAGCGGGGAAGTTCCCCCAGGGCTTCATGATGGGCTTGCTGGGCTTCCTCATTGGTCTCACATGGTGGGCCATGTGCATGATGATAGGCGAGCATTCTGGCTTGTCCGTTAGGACCGTTAGGAAGATGGGAGTTGCTCAGTTATGAGAGTCACGATAGTACTGTGAAATCAAGTCTTCCAGTATTTTACAGGCGATACAGGAAGATTGTGGAACTTACAGACCGATGCTTTGTTGAAAAGGAGCGATGTCCGCCGCGAGGCACTTGCGTGAACATTGCGGGGTTTCAGACGATTGAAGATGAGAACCTTTTCATCTTCATTTTCTTCACCATCTTTTGCGTGGCGAGACGAGAGGGATCGCGAGGGTGCAGTCAATGTTTGTTGCCATTTGTTCCATGTGTGTTCAAGGGTATGGAGTTTGTGAGTCTTCTTGCAGAGTGTTGAGGGGCCATTCTGGGCATTTGCAGATCATTGGACAGCTGCTATGCTACCTTGAGGTTGCTGCATCTGCCTTCAATGTATACCTCACCTGGTACTACACTCAGGAGCAGCTCCCTTGAAGTCATCGGACTGGCGAGAGTGAAAACTCTGTGGTGTCATTCCGCATCTGTTTCCGCACCAGGACTTGTGGCAACATCACACCAGCAGCTGGTTCGAGAGCATTGAAGGCTCAGCACCGGGCACCTGAGATGATTGTTCTCGCATACTGTTTGTCTAGTGCCTTCGGGGGATTACTTCTAGTCAGTTTGTTTTTATTGCGATAGATATTTAAATTAAACAATTCCATGTTTGAGTTGGTCTCCCTTTTGGTTTCTCTAAATTGTGAGGGGGGGTTGGGGGGCCGACCATGAAATTCCCTACAACCAGACTGATTTATCCACTGATTTAGGGGCAATCTGTGGTTTGGGACGTAAAAAGGCAGGATGGTCACAATGCGTCCTTGCTCCTAGTAGTAAGGCCAGGAGCCCCTAGTAGCTTCTTGCTCCTAGTAGCGATGCCCTTTGCTCCTAGTAGCGTGCTTGTTCCAGTTGCATCCCGTGCCACAGAGCTGTGATGATCTGTCTATTCTGGTTCCATGTGCTTTGCCTGACAGGGAGTTTGCTGACAACAGGAGGTCCGGTCACAACGCTGAGGGACCTCCGGATGCTCGGAGAAGAACAGTTTTGACATATTTTGCCCGACGTATACGCTTCAACCTTGTTGACATGCGGGTAGATACTGTACAAGGGTCTTGTAGATAACTTCCCTGTTGGTGATGACAAGGGACAGGAGATGCCAAGAGACAGCAGAGACTCTACAACATTTGCAGCTTTGTGATTCGATGCCGTGACATGACGTGGCGCGCCAGACCAAAGTTCCTCATCGTCCCTCAGATTCCTGCGGCCTCTCTATCCTTTAGAACGGAATGTGGAGTCCAAAAAACGAGAGGCCATTTCGGGCATGTGTCAACCACAGATTTGAATGCGCTTCTGGAGGAAACTGAACAACACCCTTGTCAATCGCTGACGTCTGAGGAAAGAAATTGACCTCGGCTTTCGTGTCATGGCTGGGAGGGTTTTGCGGTACAGTCGGGTACAGTTGGGTACCTTCCTCAAGTTAACAGTCCTTCTTGGAGGAAACATGGGGAAGCACTACAGTTTTCTCCTTTCTTCAATCTTACACAAATGAAGACACCTACAGTATAGAGGGGGAGAGAAACAAGCATGTGTATTGATCACGCTTTGAGTTTTAACGCTTGTTTGACACTCATTTGCTGCGTTGCATTGATCTTTGTTCCTCGTGCCCGAACCTTGCCAGATACAAGATGGGAGCGACGGGAATCAAAGCACAAACATTTATAATTTATCATGTATGCGCTGTGGTACTTCAAACCCTACGACCCTTTATTCCTTTTTCTTCTTTGTTTCTAAGAGCGATGGCCTCCTACCTACAAGCGATTGCCTCGAACGTTCATGTTTGTTTTTTTTGGGGGGGGGTCGATGTTTGGACCACAAACATGCAGTGACAAAAGGTAGTAGTGAACTCAAGAGTAGAGCTTGGCTCCAAGCTTTGTTCTCAAGCAATACCTCATTAATGCCAGGAGTTCTCATTGAAGACGCCAAAACAGCTTTGCTTTTAAATTGTGAGATAGACATCATGGTTGCCCCCCCAGTGCTGAGGTGTCTTCCAGGTGTTGGTACCTGGAGTGCTCTTCACCCCCTGTTTGTTGAGTCCGCTGAACAACTTTCTGTGCCTTGGTGTACATCAATGTTCAGGGCAAGCAGGGGTCAATAGAGGAAATGAGGTGGACAGCGGGGTTGAAGAGAGCCAGGTAAGGGAGAGGCTCGTTCATTCGTTCATTGACCTGTGGGGACAGCATGTGGAAAGTGAATGAAAGTCACCGATGTGTTCATGACTCTTTTGCGCATGTTCTAAGGTTGAGAACCAGATCCACCGTTAAGGATATCCACCTTGTCACCTCTTGACCTGCGGAAGTGAGACTTGAGACTCAGCTCACTCCGAAAACAAAACCATGCTAGCCTGGTCCCGACGTTCTCCCGCAGGATCCCATACTTCAGGGAGTCAGCGCTTTTGGTGCTCTTTGGCCAAGGCATGGGCGTCCCATCTTGTGTTTGCAATGTTACATTCTACTTGAATTCTAAATGTATGTCTTGTTCCTAGTAGTATGGCCAGGAGCCCTAGTAGCTTCTTGTTCCTAGTAGAGAGAACGAGGAACATGTTGGAAACTAAACATTGGTGTTTGAACATTTTGGGCAGATGGGCGTGCTCTGACCAGCTGGATCACTCGTCTTTTTAGCAAGACCATCTTGAAAGTACCTGCATGTGGAGCCTAACCTAGGCGGACTCTACGGGGTGTTTCGAATCGGCGACAAAAAGCAACAGAAGACCAGTGCCTACAGGTAGTGCCACGGACAAGTTCGGGTGCTTCTCGTGAGGCAAAAGCGGACGAGAAGCTGAGCGCTTCCTGGAACCACTGCCCATCGGTTGCTCGGTCGTTGTCGGCTTGCTCTTGAGTATGGACTGATGTCATGTGTTTTACCTGTGCCTTTGTCTCACACGTGTTTGTTTGAGTCTCATCACATGAGGCTTAGCGTGGGACTACCAGGGTCATGTGACGCTTCCATGCTGTCGCTTGGTCTTCAAGCAATGAAGGTTCTGTGGCCGGTGCAGCAAGTCTTTGGTTTTCTGCCAGAAACGCTGAAGGCGCTAAAGAAAGGGCATGACATTGCCTTCGTTAGCAGGGACTTGGCCGTGCACACACACACAGACACAGGGTTCACCATGTTTCACCCATAGTTTGCGCGAGATCCAGGGAGTTCTATCTGAAATCTTAAGATTTGCCAAGTAGTGATGACTGCAGTAGAGGAGGTCAGGGACTGATTCAGCTGTTTGTATTGGGATCCATGATGCTGAACTGTTTGGCGGCAGGGTAAATGCCTATGGCGTTCGTTGATGCCTGTGGACACGGACTTTGTCTCTTTTCAGAAAGAGCCTGAGGTTGTTGCCTTACTCTCTTCATCATGTCCCCTTCCATGTGGTGGGCACAGGCATACCTATGCTTCTTGGTTTGCACACCAGAAAATGAAGAAGACCGAGCGAAAGCCTAGGGCGGAAGCAACCAAAACCTGCCAACGTTTTCCAACGTTGTGCGTGCCAGAGCCCTTCACGGAGACGAAGGACGACGGAATGGGTAGGATGTTGAATCGGTGGCTCAGGCATTTGGGCCTTTTTCTTCTATCTCTTCCAGCGTTTCATGCACCTGCGAGTTTGCAAGAAAATGTACCTCGGATGGAGGAATTTGGTGAGATTGTTTGACTGCGTGCCATATCGTGCTTATCTAAGATCCAAGCTAGTAGTAACAAGTGCCTTACTAGTAGTAACAAGAAGCTACTAGAAACAAGTGCCACGCTAGTAGTAACAAGAAGCTATTAGAAACAAGTGCCACGCTAGTAGTAACAGGTGCCTTACTAGTAGTAACAAGAATCGGGTGGAGGACTGGACACTGGACAGACTGGACAGAGTCTGGGGCAAGATGTCTCACAAAATTCAGACTCGGGTCAATGGAACCAGCCCTTGGCTTTGGGAATGTCAAATGGACAGTTTTCCATAACTTGCACACTTGGACCCTATCCAAAAAGCAAACATGGGTCGCCCAGGTACTGCACCTCTAACAAACTGGTGCCGACCTCAGAAAGCGGAACGCCTCGTCAAGGGCTGACCGGTTTGGGACTAGCTGTTTGTGAAGCTTGGGCCTCCAACCTACTAGCGATGGCCTCCAACCTAAAAGCAAACCATTAAGCTGATATTTGTGGCTTGAGACTTGCAGTCTCGTGCAGTATGCTTTTCTATCACAGTCACAAGTGGAACTGCCTTCCTTTCCATTCTTATGTCAGAGGGTATTAATCAGAAACACCTTCATTTCATGCCCTGGTCGAGTCGGGCAGCTCATTTGTTGAATCCACTGGAGACGACCAGAACCCTGTGGTTTACCTTTGCATCGCTCAATTTGGGGTTGAAAGGCTGAAAGGGAGTAGTTAATTACTTTATGACAGCGCCTGTTTGCTTTCCTGGAGCCTACCATATAGTCTTGCTGAGGACTCGATGGTGCTCTACTTTGGTTGGGGCTTGCTCTTAGCTGAGCTCGCTGCCTGCCATGCTTACTGGCGGGTGAGATTGCAAGAATGGTTGCTTGGTGAAGACATTCCTTGGGAATCGTTTGACTGGGAATCGTTTCACCTGTAGTAACAAGAAGCTTTTTAGGTCTTTAGTAACAAGAAAGCTTTAGTAACTAGAGCTTCCTTGGGAATGTGAAGATGGCAAGATTGGCGGCCCAAAAGAGCTGGATGGACTAGACTGCAAGCACTCCCAAAAGCTAGCGAAAAGTCACATCCACATGTGAGCCACCTTGTTGAAGAAGCACATGTTTCTCATACATTTATGGTTCTTTATTGTGCTCAGGCAGTGGATTTCCATCCTGCAAAGTGTGATCATGTCCTACGCGGCTTGGATGCATGGTCGGGTGAATGTCATGTAGAATGGGCTTGCGAGTGCACTAATTAGACATTTGATGGGTCCCAAAGAAGCTAGTCTAATTGGACGCTACGAGGGGCTCCTGGCCTTACTATTAGGAGCAAAGACGCTACTACGAACAAAGGGCATCGCTACTAGTAACTAAGAAGCTACTAGATCGGTGGGACCCTAGACTAAACGCAGGCTTTTCGAGCACCCAAAGCGGAGCACTACCAAGATCGCCACACATCACGACGACACCGCATGAAGCAAGGCCCCATTTGCACTCCAGGCTCTAAAATTCAAGCCCACCTGGGCACCTGATATATTTAGGGCTTTTGACAAACAAGGTTTGACTCTGTTTTTGGAGTCATAGACTATCATAGACTACGTCATAGTCACTGTGAAACACTTGCTGAAGTCATAGGCGATCTACTGGACCTTCTTGTGGCTGCTGGGCGTCCCTTGGCCTTTGCGCCTCCACGGCGAGCTTGACGTCTTGGAGCGTAGCCGGGAGCGCTCCGACGATGTCGCTTGGTGGAGTGAGACTCATCCCGGCTCGGAGGAGAAAGATGGAAGAGAAGAGGCCCTAGTAGCGTCTTTGTTCCTAGTAGTAAGGCACTTGTTTCTAATAGCTTCTTGTTACTACTAGTAAGGCACTTGTTACTAGAAGCGATGCACTTGTTACTAGTAGCGTCTTTGTTCCTAGTGCCAGGAGCGCCCCGTTCGTAGCGTCCAGGTAGCGTCTCATGAAGTGACTGAGGATCGATGTCAATCATGCGAAGACTTTTGCTACAATTGGCTCAATGTGAATCCAGTCTATGTGTCTTGGCTGTCGTGAGTTTGGGAACCCTCTCTTTTGTCCGGTTGGAAGTTGAGTAACATGACATTTTACAACATCCCTCAGTAAACTTTATCCCCCCAGAAACTGCCTTTGAAAGGGCTGCAAAACGAACTTGGGACCTTTTGACTGGTGTTCCCTACTGGATCTTTGGCAAGGAAGCAACTCGTTTCTTGGGAATTGGAAAATGACTTCAGCAAAACGAGCAGCATCTCCACAAGGTCCTGAAGAGCCAATACTGCGAGACCGACGGGGACCCGATGATCTTTTACGAGCCTGGCACAGGGCCCAGGGCGGAGTGAGAAGAGGAGAATCGAAGCGACCGATCTATGAGGATAATACTAGCGATGCACTTGTTAATACTAGCTTCTTGTTACTACTAGTAAGGCACTTGTTACTAGTAGAGGATAATTTATCCTGCAAACATTTGGCATACCAGATTTCGCGATTTCGTCGATTTGGCTCACAGATTTCTGCAGTCACTCACCTCAGTAAGCTTCACCCTAATCTGTCATTCTCCACCCGAGGCAAAGAGCCACTTGGCTGCAGCGTGACCGCCTGCCATCCATGTTGGGCTGAAAGGTCTTCGGCTGCCATCCGTGTTTGATACTCTTGGGTGAGATTATGTTATTCTTCATATCAGAAAGGATTAGGCAAACTGAAATTCACAAAACTGACGGGAGAAGCAACTGGATGCCTATCTCTCGTTCATGTGTTATGTGTTATTATCTCTCGTTCATGTGTTATGTGTTATTCTTGCGGTGGAAGTAGAATCGGCATGGATTCATTGGATGATACATTGATGTCTTCTTATATGCTTGTATTTAGTTGTTCTTAGCACATCGGAATTTCAGAGTCTATTTGTATGTTTAAACCTCAAGAGGCAGTGGCTATCACTGAGGTACCTCCAGCTGGCTCCAACTGATGAGACCTGTGTCCAGAACACCAGCAATCAAAGATGGAAGATGGCTAGTTCAGGTAGGCTTCACTCAGCTTAAGTGTCTTAAATGTGTTTGCTTGGCAGTTGCTACATTTGGCAGTTGTGATTTGATTTAAAGAACATTGGTCATGCCTTTGCCATTTGTTGCGCCCTTTCAACTTTCAAACGCAAAACAAGGTCGCCAAGGTCTTTGAGGTAGGTCTTGGACTGGTAGTCAGGGACAAGTTTCTCCTCTTCACCTTGCATCATTTCGTGTTTTCACTTTGTGTCCGATTTGGTCTCCGCAAGGCCTTTGGTTGGAGTTGGAAGGCCTCGGCTGCATTGGCATTGCGCCCTTCCTGGACTCTGAGGCCCCAGATCGAACGTGAGTTGGGATGGAGCCAATTTGGGTGCGAAGTGCAAATGGAGCTGTGTCGAACCTGGAGAGTTCAAGGTGATGTCTGCACAGCCAACCAAAAGAATGAGCCCAAGCCGTGCACATGGTACAGTGAGAGGCACCTGAAGACATGAATACAAGATCCTTCATCTACGAAGCCTACTTGTGGGAAGCTTGAATCGCCTCTACCCTGGGGTTCCCTCTCTAGAATCCTTGGACTTGACCTTGTTGTGTTTTGCCGTCTTGCTAAACTCTGCAATAGCCAATCAAATCGAACAGGAGTCATTTTGCGTCAGCACGATTTGGCAAAGCAATTGCATTTGATCACCCAAAAGGCTGTTTCGATCGATCTCATGTTGCTATCTTCTGGGAACTCCACTGCTGACCGCGCTTTGATCAGGGGGTTTTAGATCCCTCTCAAGAGACTGCTCGGAAGCAGTCAACCAAGCTGAGCCCCAGCCGCTTGCCACCAGGTCTGTGGGGAAGTGGTGCAAAGCTTCTCGACCGGAGCATGTTGGAGGAATTTCCGGAGGAAAATTCGGGGGGGGGTGAGCACAAGAATGGCAGATTGTTTTCTTCTACCCATGGCACTTGTATGTTCGCTTCGGCCTTCGTTGCCTCTACTGTAACAGGTAGCAACAAGAATGCTTTTTTACTGCAGAACCATCAACTATGGATGCAACGGATTCTTGCACGACCCAAAACCGTAGCTGAACAGCTCCCAGAAGATATGTATCGGATTTCGTGGTTGCGACTTACAGTACCGGAGACCTGAAGACAGCGTCACATCGACCATCCCATGGGTTTTGGATGTGAGAGCGGGGAGCCTCCTAGTTGGGTGTGAGTTCTTCATACCAGGTACTTGTGTTGATTCCATTGGCTTACTTGACGGTACAAACAGCAACTCCTTTGGGTGCTGCCTACTGGCTTTCCACCAGAACTTTGTCCAAGTCATGAACTGATTGTTGTGACCACTGCTGCACGCGGCCTTGTGAGGGAGGCCCGAATCCCCAATCTTACCTCCAAAGCGTCCTTGCACCAAATAGAAACAACTTGTCTGAGTCAGTGCAGTTCGCCCCCTCCCAAAGGGACAAGTGAGGGTGAACTGGTTTCCACAGATGACCATGGCACGTCTTCAGGCCCAGTGGATCGACTTCAAGAAGAAGGTTTGCTGGCGTAGCTTGGCAAACGAATTTGACAAACAAAATCAGATCCTTTGGGGTTGGATCCGTTTGGGGTGCTCAAAAAGTGTGGCATCATCCCCCTCTTTTGCCATTCAGGCAGGTGTTCCCAGTCTCCTTGGAGACTTGAGCATTTGCTGATCAACTCCAGCATTTGTGTGTGTGTGTGTTTGTGTTTTGCCTCTTGTTTGTTTGTGTGCAGCGCGTGCTTCATTCATTGCCAGCAGACGTCCAGATGATTTTTCTAAAACCTGAGCACACACATTGCTCTTGTTTTCCCGCTTGTTTGTTTGCATTGACTATGGTAACCTAAGTTGACCACTATGGCCAAGCCTGCTTTGCTTTATGTGTGTGTGAGATTTTTGGAACTCTGGTGTGCCTCGTAGGATATGGGCTGGACATAGTGGTTGCATACCATTTTTGGTCACAGTGCTAAACACACCGAAATCACAATGAACACCAAGGGGTGGCGTTCTGTAAGGGATGTCCTTCACGAGGTTTTCCTCATGTGAGTCCGTCGCACTTTTGAGTTTTGAACGGCAATTGAGTGCAACAAATTATCAAAGACTTGTCAAGCACAGCGATTTCCAAAGCATCGATTCAGTGCATTCCAGACACGGCCCTCCCAACCTAGCCTAATAGCCGATGCAAGCCGATGCAATGCGAACCAAGGCGACACGACGACGTGTCCGAGGAAATTGGCCACTCGGACGAGCATGTCCAGAGTTCGAGCGAAGAGTTAGATGATGTCCATTCTCAGCTCGTGGCAACGTCAAGAAGTCCCAAACGCTTGCTGCCGCTCTTTGCTTTCGCGACGCCACCTAGGTGCAAGTAGTGGTCTTGGTGAAGTGTCGCCTGCGCCTGCGCCTGCCGCACCTTGGCAAGTGGTGAAAATGCTTCATGTTGTGTCATGTGTAGAACCTGCATTGCATAAATGTATTTTAGCTGAAATACAGTCTGAAACCCCCCCCAAGGAACGCATCAAACTACCGTGATTACAGTTACAAGTTGGGATCTGTGGAAGGCAAAAACAAGCTCGGACAGGTTGGATTCTTGGAAGAGGAGGAGGCCAAGCGGCGAAATGCGATCGAGATGGCGAATCCTGCAATATTCAATGCGATCAATACCACTTAAGCTTCGTTTGTTTCCGCTCCACCAGGCAACGTAACGTATGAGCATTTATTTTGCTGCCGTGAGGCTGTGTCGTATGTGTGATATAAGATGATATAAGGGAGGTGTTGTTCCTTGGGTATTTTTTGGACACCTGCAAAAAAACACTGTATAGATCGAGGCTTCCCAGCCCAACTCCCCTGAACCAGGATTTGTCATTCCACTCACTGCACTATTGCATAGCCCAACTGAGCGTAGTGCAGGAGCAGATTGAGCCTCCACAAGCTGTGCAGCAACTCGAGGCTGGGTGGGTGAGATCAGCATCCATGGTGCGTCACCATGGCCATCAATTGCACGATATCAAAGTCTAGTATAGTTGTGACTGTCCGTTCAACACAATGGCAGATGGTTATTTGGGTTTGACAACTTCCTTTTGGCTGCTAGATGGTGAACTCGGACCGCTGAGTGACGGATTGAGAAAAAAACATGCTTTGCAGCGCAGAACCCCATAAAATAGATAGAATAAAAGCTCGAAATGCTTCCATCGATTCTACGCAGGGAGATAAAGAGGAGCAAAAGAGGAAGGAGGCAGCCAGAATGAGACGGAAACAAAAAAACAGTGGCGGACTTGCTGGTCTTGCTAGAGCATAAGAATTTGTTAGTTTACCTTTTACCCCTTTGCTTGATCGACCAGCACCTTGCATGCAATGAATGGAATGTGTGTAACTTCTGTATTTTCCGCACGGCGCAAGATGTCTTGTAAAGTGAGTGGTCAACAAGTTTGGATTTGGCCAAAGGCGTGAGAAAGGCATGATATGGGTGGTCAAAGGCTGTGTCCACCTTATATGTCCCAGTTCAGTTGGAGACAACAAAAATGACGGTGGGAAAACATGACAAAATACAAAGGAGGCTTCGGAAGCGAGGTTCGAATGTCGGAGGCTTCACCAGCCTTTCACTAGCTCCAGGTCATCGAAGTGACCACTGCTAAGAAGGTTGTCAAGGCGAGAAGATGAGAAGCAATCCTTTCTTCATCTTTCTTCTGCAGAGAGGGTCATATGAGCTTTGCTCAAAAACTGCTTGCGACTGAACAGGAAACCTCCACAGAGAATTGCATTCTGGTATCGCTTGAACTTGGCTCAAGCATCAATCGGCTGTGCGGCTCTAGCATCGCTGGGTGCACCGCTTAGAGGTCGGAGGATGGCGGGTTCGGTGCCCGCCAACATTGAGGTGGGACTGATAGGAGATTCAAGTCTGATGGTCACCAACGGAGCAAAGAAGAGACGAAAGTCTCACTTCGTAGACCAGCATGAGAGTTTAAAGGGGAAAATCAAGCTTACGCCCTATTGCGGCGGAGGTGTGAAGAACTTCATTCAACATTTGAAGAACAGCGGAAACTACGGCACCTTGGGAATCAGCTATTTTGGCAACGAGCACCCAAAGGTCGCCATGCGTAGCAATGCGCAACGATTGAGGAACCACCAACGGATGTGGGATGAACTTTTCCAGCTGCTACGCACCAAGGTCCACCGCACGGTCTTCTTCATGGGAGGCTATGCGGACAAGTTCAGTACATGCACCCCTGTCTATGATGACAATATGGGGATGATCCGTGAGTGGATCCAACAGGCGGGCTTTAAATTAGAAACGCGCTTCGAGGAGGTGGCCGTGATGAGTTTGGGCGACTCTGAGCACTTTGCAATTAGTGAACTGGCAAAGCTCGCCAACATGTGGCACCACATGCTGTTTGGAGGAGAATGGGAAG